TGGTGCTAAGCAAAGCTGGGAGACTGGGCAGAACTTTCTTTCTCACCCACAGAGATACAAACATCAGCCAAACAAAGGACAGCGATGGTTTAGGTCTGTATGTTTGTTTTTTACTTGGCAGATGGCAGCAGACATCCCATATATAAGTTTCTGCTTGCTCCAGTTTTCCAAGTATGATAAGCAACATCCTGAAAAGGCTATATCTGTGTGTAGGGGTCATAACTCAGTGGAAAATTGTACACCTTGCATGTAGAAGATTTTCATTATTTAGTATCTGCAGTTAAAGGATTTGAGAGTGTGTGTTTCTTACATCTGTCTGGAAGATGTTCATCAGATTCCATTTTCAGGTAACAGGGTTGAGCAAGAAGTGTACATTTAATTTTGGAACCTGTAACGGTCTGATTACACCGTACCAACCTAGGTGAACCAATGGTTTAAGTCACTGTATACCTCATGAGCATGCTCCATATCTCGATGATGTGGAGGTATCGATTGCTAAAGCATTAAGTATCTATGCCACTGTGAATTTTCACAAGGCAGATGAAGAATCATATAACAGCAGGGTCACCATGAGGGTATAGCCCAGCATACTGACTGAGAAACATACAGATTTGCATCTGTAACATGTTTCTTCATCTGTTTCCACCACGGTCATTGCACACCTATATTTTTGGTTTAAACACAAATGGGCTATTTAAGGGCATTATTGATGGCTGTTGAGTTCTGCTAGACTAGAGGCTCAACAAAGCAGCGAAGGTTTAGGATCAAAGTTTTCCATCGCCTAGATGGGCTACCTTCCCAGGTTGATGAGCCCCATCTGCACCTCACTTCCCTCTACAGCATGTGCAGAAACCACCTTCTTGACCAGTGGCCCCACTATTGGTCTTTTCCACTCAATCTGCCTTCATATGACTATAAACATGCTGACAAATGACACTAAAGGCTAATCTACACATTTATATGCTCATCTGGAAGCTGGAGAAAGGAGATGGTTTTGGCTGTTTCCCCTTTTCCCTGCATCTTCTGGTACCACCAGGATCACTGTTTTGGAAGTTCTACAATCCTTCACAGTAGGATGTGAAGTCTGTATGTGAAAGGAGAATGAAATAGCTCCCATTCCACACCCCACATGTGTGGGTGTTCTGTAGATTGAAGGAGCCATTCTCTTTCCAGGAGGTAAAGCCTTGATTTAGTTGAATTCAGTGTGTTTGAATAAAAAAAGGTACATGGATCAAGATGTACATTTTGTACATGCATATCCCACTATCAGCATTCAGAAGGTGATCTTATTGACACTTGGTGTCAGGCGGCTGCAAGCAACTCCCACAGTTGGTTGCCAGAAACATACAAAGACAAGGAAAAGTTTCTTCTTATCACCTGCTTTTTATTCAATATTTACCAAGAGGGGCTTTGGATAATGGCATTGTCCCGAGTGAATCTCCACTCCCCATCCCTCCCACTCCCTCATTCATCATCAACATCATCTCTACGGGTGCTGCTACCTGCCCTCTGTCTTTGAGCTCTTTGCTCTCCTACTTTTAAGGCTCGCCGGGTTCTGGGAGATGGTGGGTCTGGAATGCTTTCTAGTGACAGCCTGTCAGCTAGCTGCTCCTCCCCCTCTCGCATTATTTCCCAACTTTCCCCCTCATCTGCCTCTGAGCTGTGACCTCCCTCAAACCCTGTTGTAATTCTGAACTGTCTTCCTCTTGTCTGGAACGGTCAGGCTGGGGAGGCGGTCTCCACCATTCCTCCTCTGCCCAGTCCCTCACACTTGGGAACTGCCCAGTAGTTGTTTGGTTTAGCACATTTGTATTTATTAGATAGGGCAGGACACAAATTTAAAATAAACTTACTTCATTACAATGATTACATGATATAGAGTATATCTTTTATGCATGAACCACAAGATGGCACCACGGCATATCAAATTTGTCATCTTTCCTTTGACCAACTACAGCCACCCCTCACACACACCCATCCTAAAGAAACATGAATACTGTGCTTAAGCTCACATGTGCTTAAAATTAGCAAGGAGATGTATGCAGTATAGTAAATATTGCAGTGCTGTTTAGCAGCCATCCATTCACTTAATTTCAAAGCTGCAAAAGAAATCATGGGTGGTGGGGGGATATGGAACAGCACAAAAGATGTAGATGATATCTCCATATTTTGGCTAATTTTATTTGTACCTGTCCTTAGCCTACAGACTGAGGTCTAATAAAACACTTATGATACAATCCAAACAATATACTTAGTGCTTACAATGGAGGCACTAATTTTTGCCAGTGTATGCCCCTGCACTGTGTAAATATTTGTCTTCTATTTTATCTGATTGGAGATATGGATATATATCTCTTTAAGGTTATTTGTCAAGCATATTGATGTGAATGCAGTTGCTCATACAGTGAGAAGGAATTAATTTTTCAGCCATTAATTTAGTCCATAAGCCATTTATGCCAGCATGTATGAACAAGTGGCAAGTCTCTTTCTATGAATACCCCAGATGGCTTACTTAACACCCCTTTTTGGAAGAGCAGCACAGGGCTCCAGGTACGTAAAAAGAAGAAGACTTATACCACCTTCAATTTCAGAGACACTAGAGAAATTGCATATGGTTTCATCAGCTATAAATCTATATGCTCATGCTAAATTATCTTAATGGAGTAACCCAGATTGGAACATAGAGAGGAATTTACTCTCCAGGTCAGCTGATAGAAACAGGTGTGTGTGTGTGTGTGTGTGTGTGTGTGTGTGTGTTTACAGTTTCCCATATTACAGACTAGATATCAATGGGTGCTGATTGGAAGTATTTTCATTTACAACACCTGTTGATTTCTGTTTATGGTCCAGTTTCCCATATTACAGACTAGATATCAATGGGTGCTGATTGGAAGTATTTTCATTTACAACACCTGTTGATTTCTGTTTATGGTCCAGTTGGTTTGGTGCTTCAGCACCCCCTAAACTGCTAGAAGGAATAATTGGATCTTTTCAGAGAATCAATCCCATAACTATCGTTTACAAATATCAATCAGGAGCTTGTAAAGTAGAACTTGGGGAACTTATGGGAGAATAGAACAGGAAGCTAAAATGTACTATATATCCAAACAATGGAAAATTGCTTTAGAATATATACAGAATGCTCCTTTAGATTTAATATTGAGACTGATTCGACAAAAATTGAAAGTCTCATTCAGATCCTGGAGGTGGAAATGGCTTGTTGAAACATATGAGGTGGGTTTGTCCAGTGTTCTTTACTGCTTTTATAAAAAAAATTTGTCTGGATTAACTTTGCACTGGCAAATTTGTGGGTGTCCATGCACATCTAAATTATATTCTTGTACCATGGGGATTAGAGGCAAGATAAGAGAAATGGAGTTTGCAAACCCTTGATGTCAAGCCTGGAAGGATAAATGCTCACTATCTATTACACAATGCTCTGAAGAACTTGACCCCCTTGCTACATTCAAACATATGTTATATAAACACCAACTTTCCTTGGATATCTATTTGGACAATTAGGAATTTAGGACAGTTTAGCTGACAGTTTTTTGTTTGTTTTTTCCCTTTGGTTTTTTCATCTGTTATCCCCCCCACTTCTTACTAATTGTACAATTTTAAAAAATCAGTTAAATGCACATAAATGCAGGGAATCCAGGATCCTAAACAAGAAACACACAATACTTCTCACCAAGCTCTAAAACAATTACATTCTGTTTATGCTGATCTTTATTTGCTTTTGAGTACTTTGTAGGATGTAATTTAGAAATGAATAAAGACATGGAACACAGGGTTATAGAGTGATTAAGGACTCCATGAGGTCAACTTCAGGCTAATGGCATAGCAAAAATAGTGCTATGTTTAATTTTGCATTATCTGTAGCTTCTGAACCAAATGCAAGGGGAGCACCACATAGACTGTGCTGCAGTAATTCAATAATCTACATATTAGGGGCATGCATGGGCCCTGAGATCCACCATCTATCTGTATCTATCCATTTTCCAAAATTCTGTTTCTGACACACTGTCCTGTCTTCCACTTCAATCTATAATTCAAGCTGAATCACTCTATAAAATGAAGCTCATTGTTCCCTATTCACTATAATGGGAAAAATCTAAAAATGGCTATAACATTCCCCACTTTTGGCCAAAGTGGATTAAATTTAAAACAGTTCCCTCTTATTAGAAGCTTAACCTGTCAGTCTCCCTCCAGCCTCTTCCTTTCCCATTTTGACAGCTTTCTTAATGGGAAAAAGCATACATTTTGCTCTTGCAATGCTGTTCACTGCCCCCACAAAGCACTGAGTTTGCAGGGCACTGGCAAATTCATTCCCTCTGATTACAATACAGGTCTGTCAGTTATGAAGATGCTCTCCCTCCCAACCCCTTATTCTGTTAAGGTAGACACATAAGTTTCAATTTTGAAAAGCTGTTCCCTTTCCCCTCTCCCACCACACATTGGCCCTTTTTTCTTCTTATTTTTTTGCACAATAAGCATATAAAGACATAGAGACACAATTTTTAATTTACTAGATGCTTGTTTCTGCCATTTTTTGATGTCTGGATTGCTGATACACCATGCTTTCCCTTGGGCAAACCCAAAATCTGTCCACGACTCCTCCTCAAAGCTCAGGATTTGGGATTTGGGTCTCTTTGATCAGACATTCCAAGAGATATGCTGCCGTTATATTTTGTGATTCTTCCTGCTTTCTCTTTGTAATGCCTAATTGGTGGTGGGGGTCATGATGAGGATGCTTGTTTTGTTTTGTTTTAATGGATTGTTTATCCCACCTTTTACAGTAAAATACTTACAATGTACAATGCAGTACATTACAATCATAACATGTACATAAATAATTTAAATAGAAGCAAATGGAACTTAAAAGGGGGAATTCTACAGGTGTGGGGACGTCACTGAAAAGGTCAGGTTCCTGATGGCTCTTGGAGATGGGCCACAGAGCAGGACCTATGACACCCCATTCAGAAGGCCAAGGTATGTACAGATGGGTCAGGCAAACCTTCAAGTAACCTGATCCCAAATCACTTCAGAAGTCAAAACCAGCACTTCAATTTTAACCCAATACTGTATAGGCAACCAGTTCAGAACTGACAGAGCAACGGTGTGACTTGGTCTGAATGACTGCCCTCAGAAGAATTCTGGCAGCTGCATTCTGTACCTTTGAACAGTTTTCACATGCAGCTCCATTCACAGAATATTAGGGTAATTAAGTTCAGGTGTATCTTCTTCTTCTTCTTCTTCTTCTTCTTCTTCTTCTTCGATCACTCGTAGCCAAGTAAGATTGTCTTCCATAAACACAGTTTTCAAAGTGAGTCCATAAGTGACTGTGGAGGCCAATTCTGGATCCACACGTCCTTCCACAGTGGAGACATGGGTTTCCAGTCAGGAGTTGATCACGGTGTGGATTTGCCAAGCATGCCTTCCTCTTAGCACATTTCTCCCTTTCGTCCTGAGTTTGAGTGTTTTCAAAACCCATGACACCTTTGGTAAAGACTGTTCTTCAACTAGAGTGTTCGCAAGCCAGTGTTTCCCAGTTGTCAGTGTTTATACTACGTACATTTTTGCTGCGTATTTTGTGTAGATAGGGTCACATCTGGCAAACCAGCCAAAGCTAGTAAAAGGCATTCCAGTTTTCAAAGCTTCCTGCCTCTCCATAGATAAAACTATAGATAGTTTGTATTCATGGGGAATACAACCCTACCCAGGACTAAACTTCATTAAGATCAGCAAGCTTCCTAACAGCGTATCTTTCTTAGTTGGAATAAGTTTCAGTTTATTATCCCTCATCTATTCCAGAACTGATTCCAGACACTTATAGATGATTTCCGCTGCCTCTTTGGGATTAGTGGACTGGAAAGAGAGGTAGATCTGCACGTTGACCACACTATGTTGCGTGACTCGTTGTAAGGCTGCTCTTGATCTGTCTGATGATCATCATGAGCTTATTGCAACACATGTCAACTCATGGGGAAGAGTAAAGTAGTGTAAGCTTATGCAGGCATGGGACTCCCAGCAGGCTTGCCTAATGAGCCTCACTGTTGTTAGAACTTAGTAAATAGCCCCATATATGTTGAACAAATTACTTAACAAGCTGTTGATGAGTCCCCTAAGTCATAGTCTTAAGCTAAACTGCTACCTAAACACCTAATAACCCCATATTTTGCTAATGCTTGATTTGATTTACTGTATTTCTGTGCTGGTTTCCACTGACATGAATCTCAAAGTGGCTTACAAACAATAAATAACAATAACATAATAGAATGTCACAAATAAATCAAAAATTAGCAATCTACAAAACACTATTAACAACGCAGCGACTAAAAAATAAGGTAAACACCATAATTACAGTCATATTATATGAGCAACAAATCAATATGGCATTTATAATGTAGAAAATGATAGTAACAACATTAACAGGATAGCATCTAAAAAAGAAGCTAAGCACCGTTAAATTCATACACACACTGTCCGGGCCCTCATGACTCATAATGCTTGGTGTTTTACTATGTTTTTATAAAGTAAGGGCAGGGCCTTAATAATAATAATAATAATAATAATAATAATAATAATAATAAAAAACAATAATAAACAGCTGCAGCTGGGGTCCTCGGGTAGTGGGCCATTGTAGAAACGGTGGACTCAGACAATTGATGTACACTTTGCTGTCAACTCCTTATTTTTCAGAAGATTTACTGTGCATTAATTTGGCATCTAAGTAATTTCATCCACTGTACTAAGATGAGACGTGTGTTTACAGAGTTCTGATTTCAGAATGAAATTGTCTACAAGAATTTCATTGCTCCTTAATAATGCTTTGAGCTACCACCAGTTTTCTGCAAGCATCATTACCTTGATTTGCAGGTGTAATGTTCTTCTGCATGCTTTCACCCATATTATCTTTGCTGCTGCTGCTGCTGCTGCTGCTTTTCATTGTGGTGTCACTGAAGAGGTGTAAGAATCCGTGAAATAAGAATCAATATTTTTTATCCTTTGTGTTGCAGAACAAAATCCGAATACGCAAAATCTGAATATATTTGTTATTCAGTGTTTGGGCATCAGAAATGCATACCATACTGTTGCAAAAGTTGGGCACCACGCCCAATCTCTGCCGAGCTGTGGGAAGATCCCAGGGCTATCTTGACACTCACCCAGGGTCTGTGCAGCGGTAGAGGAAGGGGGAGGTGTGGTGGGTGCGGGCTGCCCCGGGTGTCACCACTGAGGGGGGTGACAAAATGCCGGGCGGCACTCACTGTGGGGCCTTCAGCGTGCCCGAGCCACACATCTCTCCTGGGAGAGACATGGTGGTTTGGGCGCGCACAGGCTCCGTGCTGCCCAAATGATCCGCCCACTGCCTCCCCCCAGCTATAGGGCAGCAGACTCCAGAGGCCCCATGGTGTGTCCCACCCCTGTGGGTGGCTCGCCCAGCCCCTGGCCGCGCTGCTCCAGGTGCCCGAGCGGCTTCCTCCACCGCTGGGTCCGTGTTCCTTTTAGAATCAAGATGTCCTAGAGGCTGCCGTAGCTTTGGGAAGTAGGATTTATTCACATTTTACACCTGAATTTAGATGGAGGGAGTCCAGATCTTACAGCATGGCCATCTCAAGAGGCCCTTGTTCCCCACACAGCAATGCAGAATTGGAGTCCAAGGCATCTTTCCTAGCCTCTCTGCAACCAATCTCCTTTCCTTTAGCTAGTCCAAGCCTCCTGGTAAAGGCCCCAAAACCTTCCTGTGACATCATGCCCAGTTACCCTGGCAACCTCCCAAATTTCCTGTCCCCCAAACCTCACAGCAGGAGGGAAGATCAATTCTCTTGCATTGCCGATTGCCCAGTATTGTTTATTAATGGCTCTGCATTTAAGCAGAGTTGCCAGGCTGGTTTACATGAGCCAGCACTGTGATTCCTTGTCTGGCACAGTTCTGCAGCTTGATTTCCCCCTTCATATTCCAAATATCACTGTATTTTGACATTCATTAATTTCTTGGGTTTAGGGTGGTTTCCCTCACGACCTCCCACCAAATTTAGAATAATACCATTCAGAGATGTAGTAGATTGGGATTTCCATACACACACTGCAGATCTGGAGATGTGTTCTGGAGAGAGCCAGTGTGGTGTAGTGGTTAAGAGCGGTAGATTTGTAATCTGGGGAACCGGGTTCGCTTCCCCGCTCCTCCACATGCAGCTGCTGGGTGACCTTGGGCTAGCCACACTTCTCTGAAGTCTCTCAGCCTCACTCACCTCACAGAGTGTTTGTTGTGGGGGAGGAAGGGAAAGGAGAATGTTAGCCGCTTTGAGACTCCTTTGGGTAGTGATAAAGCGGGATATCAAATCCAAACTCTTTTTCTTCTTCTTCTTTTTTCATGGAGCAGAAATCTATTTTTTAGGGAGGCACAGTGAACCACGGGAGGTATGTTAGCCTATTTTGGGACAATGATTCCTACAATTTTTAATGCTAAATACACAGCAACCATGGTGAATGTTGTTAATTAATACATGCCGTATTTGTAGGGTATATTTCATAAATGTCAAGGATACTGAATCAGATTAAAACTATTAACTACATGCAGCTCATAAAAATGGTATCACAGTCAACGGAGATAATTAGTTCTTTAATTTCATATTTTTAATTGACTGCTTCTTCAGTTAATTAAACATTAAATGTAAGCTTTGGTTACAATCTAAATCTAAATTGTTTTAAACTGTCATTAAATGAATTATTCTACATGTATATAGGGTGACATGTCGACCTTTGGGTTTCACCAAGCACTACTAATTGATGCCACTGTGCCTGGAAATTAATTTCTTCCCTGGTAACTTGGTCAAGCTGGCGCTTCCATTCATGTGGACTTTTTATTTCATCCGATTCGAAAGACTCTGGACAGTAAGCAAACCTCAAAACACCAATAGCCCGAATGGAAGCCAATAATTGAAAATACAAATTGTAATTGTATGTGAATAAAATACCACTTCTGCCATTAAGTGCCAGTGCCCCACCCCAAAATTTTGCAGTGTTGCAAAAGTCAGGCTATGGTAGTCTTCCAGTGCAGGTATGCACAGAAAGTATCTCTAGCTCTGCTGGCAGATTTCTATATGATTTGCAGTAAGTACACAGCTTACTGATTTCTGACCTCTCCAATTGTTTAACAATAGCAATAACAAAACACTCCCTTCTCTCCCTCGAAATTATACTGTTCAAATGAAGGATGCTACGTGGAACCAGAAGAGAGAGCGAGAGAGTGCATGATGGCTTACAAATTGCATCAATTATAGAGGGCTACTTCTGGGTTTGGGTTAGACTATGGGTAATGAAAAAAGAAGAAGACATTAATAACAACTGTGATGTTTTAATACATCAGCTATTTTATTAGTAATCTTACTTAACCCATTATAGGGTTTCATCCTGGCTTCTGCAGTCCATTGCTCAGCATTAAATGACTCTTGAGTTGTTGTTTTCTTTTAAAAAAACAAAAACAAAAACCACGAAGACTGCATAAATATTTTAGTGACAGGAAGAGACTTCCCAAATTTGTGGACATTCACGTCAGCAAGTTTAATATGCTCAGCCCTTTATTTCTCAAGCCAAATGTGAAGGCTGAGCTCTGAAACCAGTGACCCTGTTTTATGTACTTAAATGAAACCTGAATTTATTTATTTTTTACTGGTTGCTGTGAGTGTCTAATCCATCAAGAGGAATGTTCTTTCATCTAAGGTTTTTGGGTAAGTTCTAAAAAAAACAAAAAAAACCCACCTTAAAAGCATCCCCCTCCCCTGCCAAATGATCTGCCATCCAAAGATTGAGACATCCATTGCATTTTAAAAGTGCAAGACAGCTATTACTGCAGACCAGTTTTTGGAAATTTACGGGCTCCTTGTGGAAGAGAAGCACAGAAGCTATAGACCTAAGACAGATAGTAATGCAGGCTTGAATCTATTCTGCCCCATACTTCGCATGCAGTCACCTGCTTTCTGAAGAAAATAGTCTTGTCACTGCCTTGAAATAGATACAGTGGTATAAGAAAAGTGTTTCCTCTATTACAGATGGCATCCCTATATGCTTGCTCTCTGTCATCATCAGTGATCCATGTAGGGCTTTGTGGCTTCAGAACTGATCTGCAGACATTGCATGTAAATCTTATCCAACCAATCAACTTTTCGTGGAAGCAGTTCTTCACAGATGATTTACTTCAAGAACAGCTGACTGAGCCTTGAGCAGGGGAAATGCTATGTTCCTAGTAGAGGCAGCCACATTAGAAATGGATAATTCAAAACTTCTAGAAGCTGGAATCCATCCAATAGCTGCGTGTTTCCAGCCCAGTCTGAAAGTTGAGCTTTTGCAAATTTTGTGATTTAAACCACATTCAGCTTCCGACACAAAAATGCTAAAATCTTTGGTGTAGTTTAAAATGAGTTCGCCAGGAATAAAAATGATATTATATGGCAGAAATGCTCATTAATCAGTCATACCATTGAAGTGACTGTTTCAACCATACTTTGATGAAATCCACATAAAATCTGTTGTTGGCAGCAGGGTTCATCTAAAAGTTTTTTGGGGGAAGATGGGGGCTCTTTTACATGATATCTGATAATGTCTGAGTAAAATCTCTTTTATTGGACTTCAGCAAGTGGGGAAAGCAATTGGAAAATGATAGTATGGTATGGGACAATATAATGGGTACAAAGCATACATTCTGTACTCATTTCTCTTCAGACCAATACAATAAATTACTGAAGCATACAGGCATGGGAATATGACCCATAGGGGCATATAGAGTAGAAGGTGTCTTGAGGCTTCAGATCTACACCAATTTTGAGCACTGAAAGTAAAATAAGTGTTTTTTTAAAAATACAATTAAAAAATGCAGAAAAATTGTTAGAGACAAGTGGAATGGAATATCCATCAGTCATGACATGATATTTACTTTAATATATCCACGTAGTGGGATATTTATCAGTTAGCTCCCTAGTCAGGTTTGTAGGCAGTGTTTTGATTTTGGAGAGACAACAGATGCAAGACAGGTTACTTGGGGCACACCTTGCAATCGTACTGCTAAGTTTAGACAGATAACTTAGGTGACCTAAAATGAATCCAATAAACATACTTCAAAGTAATCATGCACATGGAGATTACAGTGGTAACTCGGGTTACAGATGCTTCAGGTTACAGACACTTTGGGTTACAGACTCCACTAACCCAGAAATAGTACCTCGGGTTAAGAACTTTGCTTCAGGATGAGAACAGAAATCATTCGGTGTCGGCGCAGTGGCAGCGGGAGGCCCCATTAGCTAAAGTGGTGCCTCAGGTTAAGAACAGTTTCAGGTTAAGAACGGACCTCCAGAACAAAGTTCTTAACCCCAGGTACCACTGTATACTGTTTCATTTTTCTAAATGGCCTCAGCCCAGTATACCAGAAGGAGCGTCTCCACACTGAGGTCCAGCGTTGATGGCCTTCTGGCGGTTCCCTCACTGCGAGAAGTGAGGTTACAGGGAACCAGGCAGAGGGCCTTCTCGGTAGTGGTGCCTACCCTGTGGAACGCCATCCCATAAACATCACCTGAACAGCAGACTGAACAGCAAAATATCTGGATGCTGCATTAGATCGGCCACTGGGTTGTTCAAGCGGGGCTCTCCTTTGATTCTTGAAGGTCAACTGGTCAGTTTGTATATCTCTTTAAAATATAGTAATTGCTTCTAAATTTGCATCTCTCAATAAATTAGACAATCCACATTTATTTTGCAAATATTTGTTCTCTTTTGCCCCCTTTTTTAGGTGTGTCTGATACATTTCCTCTCCCCCTCCCCATCTTTTTTATGATCTGACCTACAGATAAATGCAGACTGGCTACCAGAATCCTATCTAGCCAGTTTGGAATGAATTATACTCTTTCTAATCACACTTAAAAGCGCTGGTGCTGACCTCTAAAGCCCTAAACACCTTGGGACCATGGCATCTGAAGAACTACCTCATCCCACATGAGCCTTCACCATTTGAGGCCCTTCCTCAAGATCTCCCCACTCCACCTGCTGTAATTATATATGTTCTGAAATTGTATAGGTTGCCTACTCAAAAATGACAATAAAAATCCAAGTGGCACACAAGTCCAGTTGAAAACAAATGTACGTAGAGCCATCATTAAACACAAGGATCAATTTAAATAAACCTTTAAAACAAATGAGGTGGATGATGAACAGACAGGATTTTCCCATTTGTGGAACCAAAATGTGAGCCACTCTTCCCGGAAAGGGGGGGGGGGGTTGCAATCTGGCACCAAATCTGGTGACCCATTGGTGTCAGGCTGGGCCCTTGAAAAATTGTGTAGTCCTTCCAGCAAGTATTAGATTTTGAGTTTATTCCTACTGCTGCGGTTTCATTTATTGCTCTGCTGTGTCATTTCTTTTCTGCTGTGTCATTTTATCTGATTAGTATTCATATTTTTATACTTCTTGGATTTTGCTTTATGACTATGTAAGCTGCCCTGAGAGCTCAATAGCTGAAGGGGTTGCATATAAATCTATATAATTGAAACAATAAAATAAAATACACAATCTGTTCTTCTAAGTTGCTTGGAAGTATAGTTATCCCCAAAACTCAGTGTGGATAGCAGCAAACTGATACGTACTATGAGAGTTTGTCATGTTCACATGTTTTATCTTGTGTGGCACTGTGGGTTAAACCACAGAGCCTAGGGCTTGCCAATCAGAACGTTGACGGTTCAAATCCCCGCGACGGGGTGAGCTCCCTTTCTTTGGTCCCTGCTCCTGCCCACCTAGCAGTTCGAAAGCACGTCAAAGTGCAAGTAGATAAATAGGTACCGCTCCGGTGGGAAGGTAAATGGCGTTTCCGTGCGCTGCTCTGGTTCACCAGAAGCGGCTTAGTCATGCTGGCCACATGACCTGGAAAAACTGTCTGCAGACAAACGCTGGCTCCCTCGGCCTATAGAGCGAGATGAGCGCCACAACCCCAGAGTCGGCCACGACTGGACCTAATGGTCAGGGGTCCCTTTACCTTTATATATAAAATTAACTGTCTCAAAATATGTAGCTATTTACATACATAGCTGACTATGTATTTTCTCTCAAAATAATATGTAAATGCATATTTCCTTACATTTACACTATAGCTGAATCATTTTTTTTACAACAACAACAACAATAATAATAATTTTTACCTTGCCCATCTGGCTGAGTTTCCCCAGCCACTCTGGACGGCTCCCAATTGAGTGTTAAAAACAATACAGCATTAAATATTAAAAACTTTCCTAAAATAGAGTTCCTCCTGCACTTTTTGAAGTTTTATATCCTCCACTGAACAATATTTGGTGAAATAATATGAGAAGCAGAGTAGTGGAGATCTCAAATCATTGGCAGGGGTCCACAGCCTAAACACCCACCTGGCCTGAGATGTGCTAACCAGATGTAAGAAATTGAAGAGATTGAATTAATTCCTTAAGAATCCTCATTAACGAATCCAAAGGGGGGCAACACAAGGGGGCATGGACCAACACAACAAATAGCTTTATGCTGTCAAGATACTCGTTTTGTGACCAGTATGAAAACAGTTGTGGACATCATCATAAGGGAGAGTCCTGCTCTGAGGTGTAAAGAACAGAGGTGGTTTTGTGTAAGTAATAATAACATAGTAAGGGAGATTTAAAACATCTGTGTGATTTAGGAGGGCTTCAGACCTGCAACTGACACCAATTGCCACAACTGTGAGACACAGCCACGTCAATGTGTCATGCTCTTCTTACCTGTATGTAATTACCCAGGTTCTTAAATAAATGTGACAGCAAAATTGCTGTTGGATTTGAATCACTTATATTTGCAGCCACGGGGGCGGGGGGGAGAGAATATTTCTAAAAGTTGCTAGAATTCTAGAATTAATGCAGTCTGAAACTATGTATATGAAAATTAAATGCTGCATACCACTAGTAATGCAAACAGCTACCATCCCTCCCCCCTTATAATCAAGTGTTCTGCGAAGTGTTGTCAGTGGTTTGATAGCCCCCTAAAGACATATAGAGTACCCTAGCTCCTTAGGGGCCCATTCAGCTAGCTGGCTTCCTCTACACACAGGTCATCATCATCATCATTATCACTGATGACTATTACTAATTTAATAAAAGTCAGAGAAATAATTCTGAATTCGCTTTTCCATATGTTTCCGTATTTTCTCTTTAGATCCCTTTTGGAAAGCTAGTGTACCAGTTAAAACTTTGGGTCAGATACAGCATGTGTAAAAGGAAAAGGAAAAGGATTTTGTAGGATAGTAAGAGGAAAGATTCTCCTGCCAACCTAGCAGTTTGAAAGCACATCAAAGTGCAAGTAGATAAATAGGTACCGCTCCAGTGGGAAGGTAAACGGCGTTTCCGTGCGCTGCTCTGGTTCACCAGAAGTGGCTTAGTCATGCTGGCCACATGACCCGGAAGCTGTACGCCGGCTCCCTCGGCCAATAAAGCGAGATGAGCGCTGCAACCCGAGAGTCAGTCATGACTGGACCTAATGGTCAGGGGTCCCTTTACCTTTACCAAGAAGGAGGATTAGTATTATTATTTATTAAATTTGTATACCGCCCTATACCTGCAGGATTCAGGGTACTTCACAACCATCCAGGACAATGGGTGGCAGATAATCAAGAATCTCCAGGCAAGAACAGAAAACTTGGCAAAGTTTAGAATATTGAATGGATGTCTAACAATGCAGTCCCTTTACATGTTTAAATGGGAAAAGGTTTGACTAAACGCAGTGGACTTGGTTGTACTCTGGTTAAGATTTCAGAGGAAAGACAATGTGTTGGGTCCAATTTTCTTCTGAAAGTGAATGGCATCTTCCATTTGCAGAACAGCTTTTTCTGACATAGCACAAAATTTCTTGCATGAGAAAAGAAGCATGCTTCAGTTTGCAAAAGGTGTTGAAGTGTTTAGTACCATGTCCCAAAAGTTGTACAAGGTCTCAGAAGCTTGTGCAGGATCTTGCAGAAGGTCTCAAGATGTATTCTGGCTGTGACAGTGCTGGTTGTACAGAACAGCCAAATGCTGTCAAATCTGGCTGTTTTCTCAAATTCAGGACTATTGAGGAAAAAACATGTGCTTCAATATTTTAAAATAGTGAACAGATGTAACCTTATTATCAGTAGGTTTTAAATGTTAAAAGACTACTGATAACAATAGATAAAGAATATCACAGCAGGTATGTTTTCTCAGGAATACTTGCAATATCTGTAATGTGAACCTGGTTTAATAACCTGCTGCAGACACAGGGTTCAGACTAGGGTGGATAAAAATTAATTATTAATTTAAAAAAAAAACTTGGATTTTTTAATCTAAATTGGATTTTTTTTATTTAAATTGGATTTTTAAAATAAAATGCTGGGGGGGGGGAATCTTTCTAAAGATAGTTTTCTATTTAAGTTACATTATAGTCCATCAGGAAATAAGAATTTGTTAAAAAAAAATCATGTGTGCTAAAACTCAGTCTAAGGTGTTTGTTTGTTTGTTTAACCACATCAGTTAAGAAACATGGATACATATGCTATAATGTTATTATTTTAGTTAAATAAATTGTTTAAATTGTTATGAAGGAAATGATTGTTTTTCTCTTTCCAATAAAGTACAGCAGAAAAGTTGTCCAAATATAAACAGTTAACTTATTAAACATCACAATAATGTAATTCTATTAGTATAGCCAAATCAGTGATTTTTTATATAACTGTAAAAACTACTCTAAAAATTTATTATTCCAAAAATGAAACCTTCATCTGGTTGTAAATATTAAGATTATACCAGCAAGAATGAGTCTTTCTGTAGAAAAGAGAGATTTAAATCATGTCTTACTGACTTGTGATTTAAATTGATTTGATTTAAATCAAATCCACCCTGGTTCAGACTGACAGTAAAGCACATTTCAAATGGGCATGCCTGAACTGTGGTGGTAGGATCCACCACTGACCTACACATACAGTCGTACCACCGCTTACGTATCCCTCAGGTTACGTAAACTTCAGGATACATAAGCGGCAAACCCGGAAGTATATTTCTGGATTTTTGCCGTGCGCACATGCACAGAAGCAGTCACTCCAGTTGTGGAAACCTCGCGATCCGACCGTAGCAACCGGAGGTACTACTGTATTCATCTGAGAATCTGAATTGGGCTTCTGCCTGTACAAGTGCATGTGCTGAGGGCTCTTGTACACAGTTAGGATTGTGTTGCGCATGCATGTACTGGAATTCTATTCAGCCTGAAAGTCAAGTGCATGCATTTGTGGTTCTTTTGAATATCCAAGAAGAGGTTAGCCAGCTCAATCTTGTGCATGTGTTTATGGGACAAGGATAGATATAAAAGTTGCTGTTTAGGTATACAAGTCTAAAAGGTAAAAAGAAAGAGAGGGATCCACACACCACAAATGACAATAGCATATATAGAGATATATGTTCATGTCAATCCTGGAATAAAGTCAGTTCACAATGAAATGTGCATGTCAAAGCTATATATCCTTTGTACCCAGCCACATATGCCAAAGAATTAATGAATCCTACTGCATATTTTCCCCCTACCTTGTAGAACTATCTGCTAAAGTAATATCAGAGATAAATTGAGTTTATGGTGAACTGCTAGGCCCAGTCTTTGGCTGTAAATCTCCCAAGCTAACTTCTTCCAGCATGCAAGACAAACTCAGTGCGGTATATATGAAATTCATCCTGCCAGAGTAATGGCTTTGTGAAAACTTGCTCCGTTTTAAAGGGGTGTTGATCACATATAACTCATAATGTGTGTGACTTAAGGCCTGAAATAATGTAATTATACTTCAAGGACCACCTCTTGCCTTATGAACTGACCCGGACCCTGCAATCATCACTTGAGGCCCTTCTTCGTGTGCCTCCTCTACGAGAGCTTGGAGGGGAAGAGAGCCAGGGCTGTGTTAGTGTCAGATGTGTGTGTGTTCATGCATTAAATACATCTACATCTGTAGTAGGTGCGTGGGGGGAAAGGTATGTGTGGTTCTTTTTGTCTGTCTGGTTCTGGCTGTAGACCACCCAAAAATAAATAGACACCGTGTATTCTGATTAAAAAATACACTTCCAGCACAGTGGTACCTCGGGTTACATAGGCTTCAGGTTACATATGCTTCAGGTTACAAACCCCACTAACCCAGAAATAGTACCTCGGGTTAAGAACTTTGCTTCAGGATGAGAACAGAAATCATGCAGTGGCGGTGCCGCAACAGCAGGAGGCCCCATTAGCTAAAGTGGTGCTTCAGGTTAAGAACAGTTTCAGGTTAAGAACGGACCTCCGGAATGAATTAAGTACTTAAAACCAGAGGTACCACTGTATCTACTTAGCTGTAAGTCTCATCATTGCTTATTGTCAGGAGTGCATGCAGGAGCCAGGCCCTGTGACCAGTAGGACTTTGCAGGACTGGGGCCTTCCTAAGTTTGTTCTGAAGAGGCAAGGCATGGCTGCACAAGTGAGGCTGATTGGTAACTCACTGCACCTGGTGGCAAGAGCTGGGAAGGGATATAAGGTCAGCATTTCCCTTCGGCTCTTTGCCACAGCAACATATTCCCTGCCTTGCTGCGTTTGGCTGCTTGACTCCTTGCTTCTTGATCCTCGGACCCTTGATTTCATGACTCCTTGCTTCCTGACCCTCGGACCCTTGGCTTCCTGACTCCTGGCTTCTGGACTCCTGTTCCTGCTCCCACCCCGCCAACTTGCCCCCGGTCCTGATGTCCACAGCCGGGACTTTGATCGCTCGTGAACCGGACCGTGACACTTATTTTTCTGGAGGTCCTCCCCTCCCCATCTTGGCTTCTAAAGTGAGCGTGTTAGGAGTGTTTACCTTTTCTTCCATACCCATGGTGGCGGGCTATTCAGCCCTGCCAGTCCTGGTGGAGGCACTTCCTCCTTGCTCTCGTCCTGTGGTGCAAGAAGCTGCCAGGCTGCCACTGAACCTTCCATCGCTACTTAGCCAGCTCCGAGACTGGTGGAAGGCGGTCAGCAGGTGAGTCAGGTCTGTGGTGGCAGCTGCGTCCAGGCCGGGCAGCAGCAAGAGGACTCTGGCTTCCTTGCCTCTGTGGTTGGTGCAGAGGCAGAAGGCCACATCACCTGGCAGCTGTGAGCCCCGCTCGGGGCACTCGATGGGCACTCATCCTGCCCTGAGCCCAGTCCACAGCACGGCCCATGCAGCAGCAGCTGCAGCCAGTCGGCCAAGAAGGGTACTTCATGGTGAATACCGGCCACCTTTTTTCCTAGAAAAAAGTCACCGAGTTTGTACAGGGTGAGTCTTTTAAAAGAGGCCCCGTGGAACATGTATCTACTCTGTATCCATGGGGCCTCTTTTAAAGGACTCACCCTGTATAAATTAAGTAAGGCTTAATCCCAGGAAAATGGGTGTAAGATTGCCATGTTGGTTTGTACTTCTGCATTTATTAACCTGGGAAGAAGTGCCATTGAACTCATTGTTACTTAGTTCTGAGTAAAATGCACAGAACTGCAGAGTTAGCCATGTGCATTTTGGGAGAAATTAACATTTTTTCCCCAAGCTGGAACTCTCCAAGACTCAATTTCGGTACGTGCCATTGCCATTATAAGAGAACAAGGGAGGTACTACTGGTGGAGAAAAATAGCACTGATTAAAATACTTATTTAACATGCAATTTAACCCCCCCCCCAAAAAAAATAATAATAATTAAACAGATATACACAGAAATGAGATGGAACAGATTTATAAGCAAATGCATGCAAATAAAAGCATGGACTAAAATTAGAGAGATTCTCCCATCCTACTTGTATCCAATGTACTATTTGTTAGCATATCACAAAGTCTCATTTCATTGGTATGCACAGCCCTATATTTGCTTGGAAAACTGAATTTTCCAGAACTCAAGTAAGGCATCACTAAATAAAAGATGACTAGTGCATCTAAGGGAAGTTATTAGTTATATTTTGTGAGCCTGGCATGGAGCCACTGCATTTGATGCTTCATTTACTTTCAAGAAAACCTGCTGCCCTAATCACTCTTCCGCCTACTCAGGCAGAAAATCTTTTCAGTGCTATTTCCTTTTTAAAAAGCATGACATCATCTTAAATATATATATACGTGTGTGTGTGTGTGTGTGTGTGTGTGTATACACACACATATATATGTTATCCAAAGTAAGCACACATTTCGAAACATTTAGTCCCACAACTAATGGGAAAAAGTATTTCTCTCTGAACAATTTGTATATTTAAAATGTTTACACTTACTGAATTATGTGTATCTTGAATAGTACTTAAATAGCTAAGTTAAATATGTGTTTGCACTGTGTGGGTTTTAGTTTTTGTGGTTTACTGTGGTGTGTTTAGCACAGGCTTTTGTAGTACAAATCCACAGGGCTTCTGCCACACTGGGAAATCTATAAGACAATATGATTGCCAATTTCAAAAGGGAAAGGAGAAAGCTAGGCAAAGTTTAGATGATCTTATGCAATAAACCAGTAATAGTGAGTGGGTTGTGCTGAAAATAAACGTCTTTATCAGTTACCTGCTAAGCAGTTAAAAGTTCTGCATATAGCGCTAAATATCTGGTTCATTTGTCTTAAAATGGTAGAGAAGTAAGAATACAGTGGTACCTTGGTTCTTGAATGGCTTAGTTGTTGAACAAATTGGCTTCCGAACGCCGCAAACCCAGAAGTAAGTGTTCCAGTTTGTGAACGTTTTTTGGAAGCTGAACGTCCAACACAGCTTCCACTTGATTGCAGGAAGCTCCTGCAGCCAATTGGAAGCTATGCCTTGGTTTTCGAACGGGAGTTGAACGGACTCCCGGAACAGATTACCTAAGTTCGAGAACCAAGGTACCACTGTATTTTCAAATGTCTTTTGTCAGTGTACAAAGATGTCCTTAACATAATTTCTCCTGCCCAAGATCTGGGAACTATTAATAAGGGACTTTTTAAATGTACACAAATATGCGTAGCAGTGGCACGAATTCATCCTCTTTCAATTTCCTGTCGGTGTTCACATATTTATGCTATCTATGTTCACATGTTTATGCTATAAATGTCCTGATCTATGGGCCCTGTGTGAGTGGTTTGATGCACCGCTATCAAAAACTCCAGAATGGCCGGTTTTAGTGCTTCATTAAAGAAATGTGTAAAGCTACAACACCGTGAGGTTGTTTTAAAAAGACAAAAAGTGTGTGTGTTGTTGTAATTTTCAATGATACGCAACATGATAGTGCATCTAAAGTGTCCCAGAATGAAGTAATAGTGGCTATCACACACACTAAGCTGAGTGATTAGAACAAAGGTAAACTCACTAAAAATTGTGAAACAGGGAGGGCGGGGGAGAAAACATTAGCCTTCTTCACACAACTTCCATTGTGCAGTTGATGGGCTTTAAATGGTGCTGGAGCAGGGGTCGGCAAGGTTTACCTCACCTGGGCCAGTTCACTCCAGCGTAGCACTTTAAAGGCCAGCACATTTATTACGGCATGATCTCTCATGGACTAGAGGCAGTACATGAAAACCTCTGCCATAAAGAATTTGAGAGTCTTTAATGTAAGGGGCCACAAGACCTTTTGTTGTTTCTGCTGCAACAGAATATGGCTGCCCCCTGGAAAGTATTCTGAAAGAATGTCATGCTGGACAACTGCAGTAGTGAAAAGCCAGTAATGCAATCTTCTTTACAAATAGGTTAGGCTGGTGTCATATGCTAATGTAATTCTGAACGACATTTAATTAATCTGCGTTGCTGTCAGCAAGTGTGAGCTTTCAGATTGCAGTTTGTAGACTCCCCCCCCCCACCTTTCTGGTTCTTTTTCTAAGACACATTTTAGATTCTATGAAAATGTAAAGTACAATGTTCTTGGATGCCTACCTTGTGAATCCCTGCAAGCATGAATTGATATATCTGGATTTTGCATATTATTTTACATATTGCTTATTACTTTTTCTTTCTTTTTTTAAAAAAGAGCTGCTGCAGAAATGTTCATAAGGCTTAATTTAATGTTCACATGGTATATACCTCAAGTACAGCCAAGATAATTAGTGCATCTATCAATTTTTGCAAATTCACATCTGGCAACCATATATAAAACTATATGGTTTAAGAAACTTTTAACCCTTCCCTGTCACCATTGTCTAATTTTACTCAATACTCCCTTTCTCCTTCATCATAATTTACACTCTTGTTCTTCCCTGCTCTCTTAAATGAGATACATACTTTACCTCCTGTGGTGGTATTCATATCCAACATACAATCATACTAAATCTATTGTTGTGGTTTTGTTAGACCCCAAACAATGTTCACTAATTAGGAAGTGGAATAACTTTAATTGGCTTGCTGCTTTGCTCATAATGCTTTCCTAAACCTTTAAATTTAGGTAATGGTATGTTAGTTCCCAGTCTCTGGTTGTAGTATAGATGACTTCTTCAAAATGATTCTGGACAGCTGCACTACATTATTCAGTACACAAGAAGTATTATGTGCAATCATATTCATTTTGTATCATAGGTATATCTGCTTTCTTGAGTAAAGGAAATTCTTCTGATTTTATACATCAATTGACAGGAGCATGCTTAGGATGAAAACAGGCAAGAGTGTTTTTTAAAGTTGTAGATGCCATGATGGATACTTTATTGTTCTCTCTCTCTCTCTCTCTCTCTCTCTCACACACACACACACACACACACACACAGAGAGAGAGAGAGAGAGAGAGAGAGAGAGACATTCTTTTTCTTTTTAATCTCACTGTCCCATTTGGTGGAACAGGTTTACAGATTTTTGAAGCACTACAAATGTCCGTAAAGCCTGTTCCTCCAAGATAACATTGTGATGAATGTACACATTGTGAGCAACAATGCCTGTCTCATACTGTCTAAAAGTCTCTGGGGCGAAAAAATATCTGTTTCCAGCCTAGCTAGAGCTATGTCCCAAAGTTCCTTGGTTCAAAGTTGTCCGCAGTTAATTGTTAAGATTGGTCTATGCTAAATACCGAGTCACCTTTCCCGTTCCCTTGCTGTTCCATCACACTTTCTATGATTAGGAATCGAATACATAACTTTGAAAGCTACCACCAGGTACAATGCTAGAAAGAGTGCCACATGCATTTTCTATGGGAAGGAAATCCCCATTGCTGCAAAAGGTATCCAAGAGCCTTGTTTGTAGCTATGGAGAATGGCTGGACAATGAAAAAGCTTAAAGAAGAAGAAAATATTCTCCTCATGCAATATCAAAGCAGGCAGTAAGTCCCATAGTTTAGTAAAGCATGGGGCAAGTTCCAAGTCATCATCATCTTACATTGTTAGAATAAATCTAGATTCATGTTGCCATGGGCACAATGGAGTGGCAAACAATGAGAATGAGAATAGCAGATAGAACATGAAGTATACCAGTGCAAGTCACACTGTGGATGTAGTGAAGGCGTTAGAACAGCTGAGAAGGCTGCTATAGCCTATTGCGGTCATAATTTAGCTGAGCAATATTGTTTGTTCCAATATTAACGATTTACCTGTTTTATGTGTCCTTGGGGATAACTGAGCACTTTGGTCAGCATTTCATTCTGTCGTTAGATTTCTCTTTCACCCTCCAGTCTAGTACTAGCATTGTTGGTTGCAGATAATGTAGTATCAAAAATGTTAAACTGCTGCCTTTCTTTTGGACCAAATTGTGTTTCTGAGAGATAGTGTCAGCTTTGATGTCCTATAGGAGATGGGATTTTTTATTTATTTCCCATATCTGAAGACAAACTTCTTGTATGGCTTGAAAGCTTGTGTTCTTTTGCCTGCTGATGTTCTTTTAGCTATGCTAAAGTCTTGAGTCTTTTGTTTCACCTCAAATGACAAAGTAGCATCATCAGTAGCTAGTCAATCTTAAACTGAACATCACTTAACGTGGAAGAATCTTGGGTAGTGTCGGAGCCAGCCGTACAAATGGCGAAGTTTAGCATAAAATTATGACACAGAGAGCCAGCAATATTTTCATGATGGTAGGAGCAGCTCCCCTCGAACTTCCCTCTCCTCCTCCTGCAAACTTCTTTATTCCTTTGTCCCTCTCCAGCCGCATGGCTGTTTGCCAGTGTCTCACGTTACCTCATCCGGTCAAGGCTTTTACCCACCCACAAACCATATAAGGTTATACATTCCAATACATTGTAAAGCTCAGAGTGCTGGTCAGCCGAGGTCAGGGGGCACCCTGCAATATTACAAGCCTTTACCGTGGCTTTATGACTCCCACAGGGTAGAATCCAACTGGTACCTTTGCATTCATGGAATGGCTTTTAATCCAGTAGACACGTTTGAAAGTTTTCCTTCCTGCAGCCCTTGGCACCCTCTAGAATGGCATAATGTTACAAAAGGGAGAAACTTAGGGTTGCCAAGTGTCCTCTTTTCCCAAGACACATCCTCTTTTTCAGGGATAAAATTTCTGTCCTGATGGATTTTTTAAATTTGCCAAAATGTTTCTAGCTATACTTTCTAAATGAGACATAACTGGTGGTTGAAGACTTGCTTTGCTCTTCTCTTCTTCTGCTGCCCTCAGCAATATATCACAGCTTCTGTAGTCTACGTATACTAGGGGTATTTAAAATGAGGGTCATTATAGTGTCCTCTTTTTTGCTCTTAAAAATATGGCAACCCAACTGTAACTTCTAATGTTACTGTTTGTTGTAAGGGCAAAAACAATCCCAGCAGAGAAACTAAAGGCTATCTCAGTTCTGTTCCTGTGCTTATTCTTATCACAAATTTTTTATATATAAAAATGTTGCCTTCAACATATTTACCTTTAAAAACACTCCACCTTTTACACATTTATGGAAAGTTTCAAAGTCACATATTTATAAGCAGCAGTCAGCATTTACAATTGTAACTGTATTGTGGTCTGCCATATGAAATGAAACGACACATGGAGATCGCAGTATATTACTTAAAAACGTCTAGATTCCCCTCCTGGCATCAGTCTGAATGTGGTCCCCTGAAACATATAGCCTGTCTTCCTGTCCATCAAGATTTTGCCTCTCCCTGCCATGATTCTTAAAATTGCTTTCAAGAAGAGGAGTAAGGCTGTGCAAAGGAGCAAAACTAGGCAGTTTGTTGATTGTAGCCAAATCAGACCTGAAATTAGGCATGCTTTTTCTTTCCTGTGAACACACATTTATGTGGCAAGTTAACAAAGAGTTGCAAAGGAGATATTGCAGCAATGTGCCATTTTCTCACTGTGTGAATCACGAGCTGCTTTCCAGATAACTTCTGAGTCTGCTGATGCATTTATCTGGATTTATAAATTTTATATTTATCATTGTATGTGTGAATGTACTTAATATCTGCAAGGTGACATAACAGGAAAAGTATTTAGCTTAAAAGATGAAAGTTTTCAAGTTACAAGTTTTCAAAATGATGCCATCTAGCAATGCAGATTCCCTCAGCCACGTTGTGTTCTAGGATGCTTTAGAGCAGAAGTGACTAACCTGTGTCCCTCCAAATGTTGAAGGCTGGCTGTTCAAATCTGCACAACGGAGTGAGCTCCCTTTGCTCTGTCCTAGCTCCTGCCAACCTAGCAATTCAAAAGCACGCCAGTGCAGGTAGATAAATAGGTACTGCTGCGGAGGGAAGGTAAATGGCATTTCCATGTGTTCTGTCTTCTGTCACAGTCCTCCGTGTTGCTAGAAGCGGTTTAGTCATGCTAGCCACGTGACCCAGAAATTGCCTGTGACAAATGCTGGCTCCCTCGGCCTAAAAAGTGAGATGAGCTCCGCAACCCCATAGTCGCCTTTGACTGGACTTAACTGGCCCAGGGGCTCTTTACCTTTTCACCTGTTGAGTTTTTAGTACAGCATGGGTCAAGTTCCTTGAGTCAATTACAACCTCTACACTAAACCTACCTCACAGGATTGTCATAGAGAAAAAATGTGTGAGGGAAGGGATAAATTCCACAGATAAATAGAATGAAATAAAAATTTATCTGTAAGCTGCCTTGAGTCCCTGTCAGGGGAAAAAAGGGTGTGTAGTAGTAGTAGTAGTAACTGTGAGACATGCCAGAGAGTAAATCTTATTGAACATAGTCGGACTTATTTCTGAGTAATAATGCTTAGGAATGCAGTGTAAGGCTGACAGATTTTCACCCAGTTACCTGGGAGTAAGCTCCATTGAATACCATGGGACTTCCTTCTGGGTAGACAGTGTAATGTTCCATTTACAATAAAGTAATCAACAACCCTGTATTTCCTTAAAAATGGCTGACTGCTGAAGCATTGCGATTAAAGAATTTAAAGTGGATTGGTGACCTTTTCCTTCAAAATTGTAGGGAGCGCTTCGTATGCCAGCTTCACAATTTCCTTCATTTGGTGCAGGGATTTTATTTTCAGGATAAACAGGACTCCATTTTTGTGCCTACACAAAAAACCCCCCACCACTTTTAATTGTTCTCTGAGATGCGGAGGAGAAAGGAAAAGCGGGACATTCCAGGATCAAATCAGAGATTGGGACTGTCCTTGGAAATCAGGACACTTGAATGGTATGATCCTGGAACCTGGGGCTTTCGAACAAAGCTGAAGGTGCAAAAGAAAGCTACTGAGGTAGTGTATAGTCAATTTATGGAATTCACTATCATAAGGTGTAGTAATGACCAGCAACCTAAATATGGCATGGCTCATATTTGCCACCATCCTCACCACCTCACTATGGGTCTTCCTGTTTTTGATTTCCTGTATTTTTTCCTTGATTTTACTGTTTCATCTTTTGTAAGCAACTTTGAGCTTTTTTATTTTAACAATCAAGGATTTTTCTTACAATAAAGCGGTGTATAATTTTTATGGAATAAATAAATACTAGCATTTACCCAAAGACTTTCTCCATTGTCACTCATTCTTGCCACATTATCAAGGACGACAACCAAAGAACCTGTTGGCTTCCAAAAGTAAGAAAAGGACTCTCAGCATCAATAGTGTTAACTGCTTGGGTTATTTCCCTATCCCAGGAATTTCCTTGTCCCGCAGGTCAGTCAGGGGCTTTAACAGTATTACCAGGTGAGGTAGCAAGAAGCTTCTTCAGGAAGCTGTTCAGCTCCATCATTCTGCAAGAGCAGCTTTTTCTAATAGGATCCCAGCCCCTGTGAGCATTAGAAATTCCTGTTAGTCTCAACTCAACCAGGTGGTGTGATCTGTTCCTTTACTGCGAGAACACCAACCTACCACACAGTTTTGATGGCCTTTTAAGGTTTGAAATACTGTCTTCTATGTGACTGGGATTTGATATCACTATGGTTGCTGTGGATGGGGAATAAATTCAGTTTACATTTAAAGGTGAACCTACTGAATTATTTGCACTTTGGGAAACAATGCATGAATTGAAACACAGCCATTCTTCGAAGTGCACAGTTATGTGTACAAAATGTGCACACATACTAGGGTTAAGTCTGCACAATATGATTCATATATTAGTGAAAATAACATATACAATGCATTATATTTAGGAAACACACTTTGCAAACATGTATGCATTAGGCAGAATTGTATACACCATTATGTGTATTATGAAAAATTCACGCTAAGATGCTGGTGAATTTTCATGAGGACTTTCAAAACACTACAAACTGACCGATGAAAAAGGTGGATAACAGAACAAATGTATGAAGAAATGAGAACCGAAACTGACAGATAGGCCCATATCTAATGAAGTTGCTATGAAGTTCTAGGCCACTCTTGACAGGTTACACAAACTGCCATTGTGTTCATTTTCAATAAATCAGCCTCATTGCTAACAATTTCCAGTAATGGCTAGTGTGCTGCCCTTGTCAAGGAGGGAAGAGAAAGACAAGGCTGTGTTTAATCTTATGGGGATAGCTGCAGACATGGGTGCCATATAATTACTAGGAAGAAAATTCCCAAAATAAATGGACATTATTTCTATTCATAGAAGCACCTAAAGCATTTTATGCAAATTTTCCTTGCAACAACATCTGACTATACTGAACAATTCCAGTGTAGGATTAAACCCTTGGAGGCCCCTAGGCTGTCGAAATATCGGGGACCCCTTGCAAATTATCTCCTAATATGTTCTTGTGATTTTCTTTCAAGATCAAATCAATATTATTTTGGTCCGTTGTCGTGGGACCCCTAGAAAGGATGGGGCCCATAGGTCGGGCCTACTCTGTTTGGTAATCCAGCACTGAACAATTTCTATTGTTTTGCAGCAGTTTTTACTTAGGAATATCATACGGAAGACATTTCCAGTTTAACAAGCAAAAACTGCATTGCGTCATCTTAAATAGTCTGACAAAAATGAAGTCCCTTGAACAATTATCTAATTTCCATCTATACCCACCCACCAATTCACATTTATAAGTTTATGGAAATTGGAAAGTAATGAAAATGCATGCAGAAGTATTAAATTAAATGCTTCCTTTACAGAATATATGCTCCCATTTTTAGCCAGGAAAAATAACCACAAGTAGATTTTAGCACTCACAGTATTGTATTTGCAACATGATTTAAATGAGCACAATTATAATTAGCAAAAAGAATTAACTCTAATGCAGTATACAAATTGGTTCTACTTCAGAAAAAATGCTGATGTTCAACAAATGAAATTTCATAATTTCTAGGATTTTAATATGGAAAAATCTTTCCAAGTATAAAATCTGAGATTATCTTTCAATAGGTGATTATTTTCCCCCTAACAATGACTTTTTGGTACAAAATCCATTGTTATTTAAAATGCACATTTTGTTAGCCTGCATAATTCTTGCTAACATTGAAGGCTGCCAATGCATTTGGCTTTTCTTTTCTTTTAAAAAACAGCTTTACCAAAATTCCTTGAAACACAGACTCTTCTAAGAAGCAGAGTGAAGGCTTGGCTGGAATACTGAAGATTTCTTTTGAAAAACTACTAACACAGCTTAGTCTCGTGACACTTATCAGATTTGAAATAGCAAATCAACAAGTTAAAGCTACCAAATTTTCATGAAGACAAAAAAGTCCAATATATTTTCTGATCCTGGCTTCAGCTTGGGAGGGCGGGATATAAATAATTTTTTATTATTATTATTTATTTCCTGTTTTCTTAAAACAAAAAACCAAAACTGGTTGAATATGCATTGCAGCCTACATTAAATGCATAGTGTGCAGTAGCATCAGAGGGTTTTTATTTGTTAAAATGAAAATAAAATAATAAAACTAAGAATGGGAAAGCAGA